CCAGAAAAAGATATCCCCCCTAGCTCTGGGGCTGCTGTGGAATTTTCTGCCTTTTCTGCACACAATGTTATGTAAAACTGGAGGTTTTTTAGACTGTCACATTTGGATTCTGCCATCTTTGAGATCAAGGGTTGGAAGAATAGCCAAAGGATTTCTTAAGAATAATTTCCACTTAAGTATATTTATTACATTTATGTTTATGTGCTGCCTAGGAAAATACCTTATTTTAGCCTAAGAGTAATACTTTCCAACCACTGCAGTCTAATTGGGAACTCCTAATTCAGTCTTTCACCAAGAAGAACATTAGGGAAGAAAAAAACCCCAAGCTCAGAGTTGGGATAGGCTAAAGAGAGGAGTAAAAACTATGAATGCTGTGAGGGGCTTTGTCTTCTGGAAAAAGCAAAGGCAAGAAGAAAAATGCTTTATATGTCAGGAATCTTTTAAGGAAAATAATAATTTCCAATATCAAGAGAATACTGTTGCTGTGCTGGGGAGGCTTTGGTGTCACAGCACAAAGAAAAGCAAAGCAGAAATACAAATATTCATCCATACGATTAATTGGATTTTTGTACAGTTGTGACTCCACACAGAACTAATTTTCAGTAGAGTTCTGGAATGCAGACATTTGAAATGTTAACATGCAAATGCATTTCTTTTTCTGACTCTTCTCAAACTGAAGTCGTTTGGGTGCATGTAGGTTTGGGAGTCAAAGTGGTGGTCAGGTTTCTGGCTGCTAGACCTGTATTGCCATTAGGTGAAGCTGTTCAGAAGACAATACTTTCTTTGTGGTTCTGAACTTTTATGACTGCCAGTGATCTTCAGGGACACTCTGAAGCAGCCTGAGATGGTTGTTGACGTCCAGGAGTCACCCACTTCCATAAGTGGCATAGCTCTCCTGTATGGGCCAGAAGAATTTACAGGGTGAGCCTTGGAGCACCAAGGGAGAGAAGAAAGTGGAGGAAGGTGTAGCCCTGGCAAGTGATGCATTGACATCTGGTCCTGCCTTTAATACTACCCTGCAACTTCTTTAAATTCAGTTTTGTTCCCTGACTGAACCCATATGGAGATGTATTTCACAGCACTTTATTGCAAAGTGTGAAACATCTTCAGAATCCATTGACTTTAATAGAGTTAGAGGATACTCAGCACCTCCTGTAACCAGCTCTTAAATTTGCCTTCTGCTATGTGATTAATCTATCTAATCACACTTAATATCTACCTGTAGATGGTGGCAGTATGAATGTCCTCTTGGTTTTTATGTGGCCGTGAGGGGGAGGGAAAAGGAAAGTAGAGAGAGAGAGAGATTTCCAGAAATTACAGTCATTTGTAGGTAGTGAAATAATGGCACACACATTTTATTTCTGTTCTGTCTGGGTAACTCAGTAAATTGTGTATTGATTATGCTAATACAGCTAGTGTCTCTATTATTTTTCTGCAGAAATTATTCAAACATGTAGATGGAAGAGGCACTTAGAGAAGTCTCCATCCTAAGAAAAAGGTTTTTGTGCAGAGGTGGCTTTAAATTGAATTACTAATTATATGCTAATGGAAAAGTATAGATCAAGTATTGAATTATAGGAAATGTAAAGTGCAAGTTAAATATATATATATATTCTAAACTTCCTATCCTGACAGTCTTAGTTGCTATGTTGGGCTTATTTTCACTTCTCTCAAGGAATATGTTTTAGGAAGGGATAAATCAATAGCTATCTATTTTTATAGTTTATTTTGGGGTGTGTGGCTTCTCCTGCTTTGTTTAACAAGCTGAAAAGAGGCTCAGGCATTTGGGGCAGTTCTTTTTTTTTTTTCTTTTTTAAAATTTATTAACCCACCTAGACTAGAAGAAAATAGAGTTTTTTTCAATTATCTTTTGCTTTTATTTTATTATGGTTTGTAATAGCTCAGAAGCCATAAATCTTAGCCAGAGCTCTCCAAAAGGTTTCCCTTTCAGTGAAAATGTCCCTTTTCACATTTCTAATTTTATCCATTTATTTCCACACAAGGTTTTTTCCTAGGCATCAACCAGCAATGACTTGTGCTCAAAGGGAAAGAATTTTTTTTTTCTAAAGGGAAAATCATCTAAAGAAATGGAATCTTGTTTGCTCAGTAGAATATGAATGAGATTTTGCAAGCTAGGAAATCTGCCTATATTTTGGAGTAACCTTATAAAATAATCTCCCTCCTTTATTGGGCTAACTATGGAAAGACCCAAAAGTAAAAGGGGTGAAGTCCTCATCTATCAGCAGGTGTTGCTGTAGAGCAGTCAGGAGATTAATCCTATTTTTAGAATAAAATTTTAGACTGAATTTCCACAAGTTTTCCTCATTGGCTGCCCTTGGTGGTACTCCTTGATTTGTTAGGCTTTTCTTGGTGTTTTTTTTTCTGCATTGGCTGTACCAGTGCTGAGATGTCCAACCTTTCTCAAAGATGCAGCTGCAGTTTGGACATAAATTGGTTTAAAAACTGGTATATGTCCAACCCACAAGCTTTCATAAGGGGAGGTAGAATTCACATGCTGGAATTCTGTTTTCCCTTACTGGGATTATTTTTTTTAAAAAAAAAATTGCTTTCAAAAAGTGTGATGCCACAGTTGTTGTGGTGAGCTCATCTTTTTTTTTTGGAAGTGTTATTATTTGGCATGCCTGTTTTGTTTCTCAAAAGCTGCACTGAGAAAATACAGAGTAGGGATTTGATGATATTGACAGATAAGTCAATTGAGAAGTATTTCTACTGGTCTTAAACCCATTGTAGGGACCAGGAATATTGTTACTTTCATGACAAGGGTATTTCAAACACATCTACAAGTGCTGTTCAGCAGATAACATCATTTACTCATAGTCTGGATTCAAAAGCTCTGATTTCCTGAGGTCTCTCCTTTTACTGGTATCCTATAACTTTGTTTTATTTTATTATTTTATTCTAGGATGTGGTATGTGTTGTAAGAAAGATAACATCCCTATGCCCAATTACAGACCTGGAATATCAGTAATTTTGACATTAGAATTAATAAATAGCATTTACATGCCCCAGTTTTATCTGCATGTCATCCTCAGAGCTCTTTTGAGTAACATTCAGTGCTAGTGAAATGTTTTTTGCATAGCAACTGTTTAAAACCTCTTGAAAGTTCTGTTTAAAGTTGCCTTCCTCTCCTGAAAGACAATGGTATAGTTAATGTTTGAGGAGAGGTAATGTTGGCTGCAGTCACACTACCTTTCATAGTCAGATGAGTTTAACAGTGGCCTGAGAGCTGAAATAACACTGAAGCTTTCAGAGTCTGGTTGTGGAAAGGCATCAAGTGCTAATTGAGACCTTATCTGATGCTACCAGCTGTAGCTTACTTAACTTTACAAATACCCATGCTAGTTGGAGGAATGATCTTGATCCAAAGTAAAATAAGATGCTATTTTGTAGATGATTTGTGCTAATATTGAGTTCCCTAATTCTGTAGGTCTCGTGGGGTTATTTTCTTCTCATTTTACCGTATTTCCCTCTAAATGCAGTTGAATTTTTTCCCAGATCTGTCAGTCTAGCTGAATATTATTAGCACGTGTTGAAGGCCAGGTTGGATGGGGCTTGGAGCAACCTGATCTAGTGGGAGGTGACCCAGCCCATGGCAGAGGCATTGGAACTACACGGTCTTTAAGGCCCCTTCCAACCCAAACTGATGATTCTATGTCTTTGTGCCGTGGCCTGTTGTGACCTACTTGGTTCTCAGGCAACTGAGAATCCTTGAAGGGCTTGAACAGTGGTTTAGAAAGATGCTAACCACAAAGTTACCTGCTCTGATGCTTATTTCCTTTTTTAGTGTAACAAAGACGTAGTAGTCAAACCTCAGCTCTCACAGAATTTTCAGATCCCTAAATAGCAGGGAAGTTTTAAAAGATGGGTTTCACAAGGCATGCACCATCATCTTTTCACATGACAAAATTTCATACATGACACCAATTTGTCAGCCAATATCCACGTTTCTTTTTGTCCATTTTAAGACCTAAAAATGTTTGGTGTGCCTCTCGGTCAGCAGAGCGAAGCTGAGCACGTTTTGGTGTGCAGTCACCTCTCAGCAGCAGTGAGAGGTTCTGGAACTGCAGCTAGCTGGTGGCAGCAGACATTTGTCATAGAACACATGCAAATTGTGGTTTGCAGACACTTAGGGAGATCTGTTTCAGACAAGCAGATCTTTTTGACTTCTTGGCAGGTAGCTGCTTTATTTTCAAGATTTCCACTTGAGAATCAGTTCCTGAAAAGCTGATGTCTGGCCACCTCGATTCCATCTTGAAACTTAGGAAGTGGTAAAGTTTTTAAATTGCATTTCTGGCCAAGTTGTGATGTAGCACAGTTGAGGATTTCCCTGGTAGATAACAGATGTGGTGGAAATAGCTCAGCAGCTGATGGTGGGCATAAAGAGTGTTGGGTTGGGCTGCTACAGAGTTTTCACTGATGGCTTTGAGGGGATCACAAAAGGGGGTGTCTTGGGTTTGTGTAACTGTATGCTGGTTAATAAAGCAAGAAAAATAATTCATACAACGAGTCCTACTGATCTTTGCTGCCCTGGTGAAAAATCTATTTCACTTAGTTTGTGTTTGACCACGTGTTCTCTGAAAGTCAGCTTTTCATGAGCTTTCCCCATTGCTTTCTTTGTCTGACCCGTTTCCTTTAGCTGTGAGGACTGCTGGGATGACTGCTTCAGCATAACAAAGAAAATCATCCAGTATTATCACAGCTGAAGTGCTGGTAACTTCGTGGCTCCAAAATATAAGTTCAGCTGAAACAGTCAGCTCATAAAATTGCATTTTTGTGAAATATTTGACTTGCTCCAGGGCTGGGGAAACTTTGTCAGAACTCTGTTGATGGGGAGAGTGTGCTTACAAGCCACAGCTCTGGGACAGAGGTAGAGATGGTTTAAGAGTCCCCCAGAGACTGTACTTTCTAATATATGCACTGTATTTCAAATTTCTGGTGTCCTAAGAGTGTCCTTATGAAAACTGGTGTTTTTTTTCTAGAAACTCAGATTCTAGAAACAACCAGTTGTATGAAGCCTTGGGGTTGGCGGAGGAGGAAAAGAGGTACCTGTGGAGTGTGTATATGTATCTCTTCTTTTGATATCTGTCTGGATTTATGTGTGTTGCACTCTCTTGTCCCAAAACCAGGAAAATCTTTGGATTTTAACTAGGTTGCATGCTTGTATTTTTGAGGTTTGAATTCTTGGGAGTGGAAATGCTGCAGAAGTGCAGTCTTTCCCCTTTCAGCTTTTTCCCCTGTGGAGGGAGAACGAACTCTTTTCTCTCTGCTGTTCTCTAACTCAAAGAACTCTGTCTTTGGGAGAATAAAAAGGAAACTGTTCTGCCTTTTAGCTCTTCCCTTACTTTTACTCTGGGAGAGTCAATCTTACTTAGACATCGTACCAGAGCCTACGAGAACAGCCCTCTCTAATTTTTCAAAGTAGCAGCAGAATGGCTCTTGTTAGGTTCACTCTCACCCAACAAGTTTTGAATAGTGAATCTGACAAGAATTGTATTGTTTTTAGTTCTCCTGCTCTCAAAAGCTGTGAGCCAAGGGAAAGATGCTGGCATGGTGTATACAGTAAAACAGCATGGGGTTAGTTCTCCTTTGCAAGGCTGTCTGCACTGCTGAGATGTTTGCTACTGAATATAGGATTTTTTATGTTATTTTTTCTTTTTAAAAAGCTCATGTTTGAATTTGCACACACACCTCTCCCATTTGCCAGGAGAAGGCTTTCTCTTATCCATGTGGAGCAAGCAGAATCTTAAAGCCCAGAATTATTCTCTCATTTACTTCCATAATCAAACACAGTAGAGTGCATTGAAGACAAATACTCCAGAGGCAATTCGATTTGTTTTTTAAGCTACAAAAACAATTTGGTCACTCTGTTCTTAGATTTGTAGCTTCCACACAGCAACACATTCTGCTCTGGTCTGCTCTACGCTGCTGCACTTTGCAGAGCAGCTTTTCTTGCCCAATGTTGTACAAGCATCACTGGCTTTCAGAACTGAAGCTGGTGTAAAGATGCTTGAAACACTTCAGCTGCCTAACATCTATTTTTTTTTGTTGTTGTTTGTTTGTTTTGTTGTTTTGTTTACCTTTTTCTGACAGTAGAAGACAGTGAATCAGAGGACCAGCAGGCAGGTGTGGGACACACAGCCGCCCAGACTGGTAATGCTGAATTCCTTCCTTAGTGCTTGCTTGCCTTTTGACAACAGCGTGAGGGATTTTTGCAGTGGGGTGTTTTTGCCAAGCCTGCACTCTTCTTTCTCTGTTTCAGCTTAGAATTCATTCTTGGGGCTTGCAATGGAAAATAACGTTCTTCTCCCCTCACCTTTCAGTTCCTGAGAATTAGAAACTCTGCCTTTTGTAGGTCAGCCAACTGAAAGTGAGGTGCTCCTAGAAATGCAGCATGCTTTTCTTCTTTTTTTATTTTATTTTATTTTTGCTTAAACAATCCTTCTCTACATCCCCCACCCTGTCCCATTTCAGATAAGCTTGAATATTCATCCCGCTTAAACTATTTTCATATTTGTAAAATATGTGATAAGGGTGATTTCTTTTGGGGTAGTTTGTATAATTTCTTACCAGTTGGGGTTAAATTAATGGCTCCTTAATTTTAAATCAATGAGATCGGGTGGATAAAGCTGCTGTTTGAGTCTGGGCCACCAGGACATGTATTGTAATAATAACAAAGAAATAATTGTTAATTGCCAATAACAACAAGGGCTCTTTTCTTCTCCAGTGAGTCTATGATTCTAATATGGTTCTGAGAATGCAAGAAATACTTCCCTTCTGTCTTTGGTACTGATTCCTCAGTATTTTATCTGAAGAGCAGGAGTGACTCATCTGAATAGTCTCGTCCATTCAGCTGAGGTCACTTTTTGGAGTAAGGCTCGACTTCTTCAGGCTATTCCTAGAAGGCTACTCATCACTGAATACCTGTAGGTAGTTTGTCTGAGAACAGTTGGAGTTATTCCTCTTATGAAGGTGAAGAATGCAGTTGAGTTTGTTTGTTTTTTTTCAACTAGAAGACATTATATTTCTCTTTTGTGTGTGTGTGTGTCCCACGGTTTTGTGCTTGGTGCCTTTTATAGGTTCCAGTGGCTCTGCACATAAACTATATTGTTTGAAAAGAGGAAATAAAAGTGAGAGATTTCTCTGCTTTTTTAAAAAGGGAAATTTCTCAAGCTCTTCTGAATGTATTTATGTCTCCATTTAGCCATCTGCAAACTTGGAAAAAAAAGCAAACTTGTACTTCTGTAGACCCATGAAGTTGAAAATACGGAGGGCTGTAAAACCAGAGCTCAGTACGACAAGGAATGGTTGATTTTCTGCATTTTTTTTTCTTAAATTATTTCTCAATGATTAAGTTGTCTTGCTAGTTACTTGTCTCCCATCACGTTGTGTGTTGTTCTCTGGCTGCTTCCAAGCAAGTTTTAACATTGTTTTTCTCTATAGCAAAAACGCAGCGTTGATATTAAAAACCTGATAGAGCAAGCAGGACAGAAGGCCCACACTGTGTACACACACTGCCAGAAGTTTTTATAGTAATACTTTGTATCTAAGCTCTGGCTCTAACCATTAAATGTGCTTTTTATAGAGTACCAAGTTATAAATGTAGTGCAGCTACGGCATATTAATCTTACTGCAGAGATTTAATGAGGCAGTTGTTTTGCGATGGACACTATTGGGAGCAGAGAGTGACAGAGTTTTACTTTACCACTGAGCTGAAGAAATATTCCTTGCCTGGTAATAATTATAACCACATGATCTAAGTTTTCCTTTCTTCTGCCAGCACTTTTCCATGCAGAAGTGGCTTGGAAGGAGATCTACTGCAAGGCAGTGGAACGGGTTGGAAAGGAGGCTGTTTTCTTGGTAGTTTGATGTTTGAGCTGTGATTAGCTACGGAGCCTTGTAGCACAGGCAGAAATATGTAAGATGAGTTTCAAGAATACAGATAGCCTTTGCCAGTCCACTGAGATGGCTTTTAGATATTCATTACTTTTACTTGACTTTTATATGGGTTATAAAAAGTAAATGTGGTGAAACCTCATTTTTACATGGGCAGAATACAATTTCAGGCGGTTGGCCCTAAACCGCTCCCATACTTGAAATTAATTGAAGTCCATGGCTTTATTGCCTCCAACACTTTTAAGCCAATGCAGTTTTTCATTTTCCCCAAAGTTGCAGTTTTATTAGACCAAGCTACAGCAATAACACCCCTTAGGTGGAAGAAGAAGAAGAAGGGACGGGGAGAACCACCTGCCAGGGAACACAGTAATGAGAAAATCATGCTTCTTTTAATTTCCATTTATAAATAATGTCAACATAATCAGTTGCAGAAGACAACTGTTCTTTCTTCTCTTCTTCTTCTTCTTTTTTTTTTTTAAAGTGCCTTACTGGGCTGAATTTATTTCTGTTCCAAAAAAGTAACCCTTCCTTTCCATAGCAGCTAATTTTCAATGATATCTGCAGATGGAGCTGATGTGCATATCGTGGCTGAGGTGTCTTGAAAAATTTCAGTTGGTGCCTCTGAAATAGGGCAGGGAAGCCTCTGGAAATGACAGTGGCATTTGTGGACATTTGGGAAAGTAATCTTACTATGAAGGCAGTCTTTGCAGAGGGAATTGTGGCTGTGGTTGGTGCAGATATTGGGGAGAAAAATGTGAGAGGTGAATGACGTTTGCCCTGTAGTCTGTATATGAGCATCAGCTTTGAACAGGAGGTTAAGGAGAGAGTACAGATGAATGCATATTGCATTTATAAAATACATTTTATTCTAGTCTTTCAAAAGAGCAGCTCAAATAAGGCAGCTTGTCCTCAGTTTAAGTAACTATTTAAGGTTAGGCCAGGTCTTAATGGAAGGTATCTGTTGTTGTAGCAGAAAACCTATCTGCCCACACAGCATCCAAGTGAGATTTTCTCTTCTTAAATATCTTTTTCTTTTGGTGGTGACATCCCTTCACAGAAGTGGATCACAGTGGAAATGTGTTCATTGAGAGGGGCTGAGACTGCCAGAACTCATTTCACAAAGCTGTCGTAGACTAAACTCCAACCTAGGTCCCAGAGGGTCCCACTTAAGTGTTGACCTAAAAACAAATGTGCCAGTTGGCTGGAACACGTATTCTAAAGTTGCAGCAGAAGGGAATAAGCTTGACTGACTTCTGTCCCTGTAGAGTTTATATCTGCAAATGCAGAAGGAGAAGCAAAACATTTATTAGTCTTAAAATGATTCTAATTTTAATAACTGGTCTCTAAGTAGGAAGCTTTAAATTGAGCCATTCTTTAGGCTTTTGTACACCGAGGGGTGCATGTGTGCCTGTGTGTGTGTGTAGTGCTGAATTCCTGTACAGTGCAAGTGCTGCTGAATGGCAAGTCTGGAGAATTCCCTCCCCTCCCTTTTCTCTCCTTCAGCATCGCACTTAAAGCAGAGTCAGACACTACCCTTATTTGAAAACAAACAGGTCTGTAAACTTTATGTGCAGCATTTAAATACTCATGTTAAAATTCAGACCCCGTGCCCACATTTCCCTGAGTGCTGTCAGCTTCATGAGATGAAACTGGGAGCTCGAGCTGAACCTCTAATAGTATGCAATGTGCACATGCTGCCTTCCAACAAGTGTTTAATGATGTTGGGGTCAGTTTGCAACAGTTAAGACAGCTATTTCTTTTTCTGAACTACTCATAACTTGGAGATCTCCTAACTACTTCTCTTAATCCTGCAAAATATCTCTGAAGGTGAAGCGGCAATGGAAGTTATTAGATTCAGAGCATTCAACTACAGCTACAATGCCATGAAGTCCTTTTATTTAACTAACATCTCTCTTTGGTGTGTAAATTTGCAGACTGCTCCTCTATTTGGAAGCAGCTGCCCAAGTGGAAGAACCTTGTGTATGTAATTTGTCATACAAGGATTGCACTCGGTGTCCAGGCAGGACTTTTGCACAGCAAATTTTCTCTTTCTTCAGAATGTGTTTTTTATTTAAAAAAAAAAATAATCTGGTTCCCCTTTGTAATGTAATTCCCTTAGAAATAAATTCTGCCCTTTATCCCTGTCAAAGAAATTCCTCAGTTTTGATTGTGAGCCACATAGCATGAGGAAGACTTCCTGACATGGGTCATTCCCAGTTTCTGCTCGCGGGCCCATCTGTTGGAAGAGTTGAAGGGCAGGGTGCAGCAGTGGGGACCAAAGGATGTAGAAAGATGATGAGAGCTCCCACCTTTGTTGTGGGCAGCAAGAATGCCAGTGCTTCCACACAGCAGCAAATAGAGGAATGGCTGTGCCCACATCACTGGAGGGTGCTGAGAGAGGTTTAAGAATGACTTAAAGTGGAAAACCACCTCCCTCCTCACCCCTTCCCCATTGGAATGTGGATTTAGTGTTAGCCTGTTTTGGTTGCTCTTCTTCCAAGTGCATGATCCTGATGAATTGCAACACTGAGTAAAGTGGGTTCTCAGATACCATCTCTGTGTTGCTGTGGACAAGAAGCTTACTCCTGGTTAGTCACCCGCTTGGCCAAAGTGCCTTAACATCTTAAAATGGACTTGCACAATCTCCCGTTGCTATGTGAGTTTGTCCTTGTTTTGTTAAAAAAAAAAAAAGTTTCAGTCTTAGCTCTCTCAAATATCAAAAGGGAAAAATGAAAAAGCCAAAGGAGAAAAGGGAGCAGTGGTGAAGCACTTGCATTCCTTCTCCTGGAATGCACACAACCGTTTTTCTTCTGCGTTTCACTTGTTGTACTGTGGTTCCCAAGGAAAAACAAAGTTAAGTGCCAGCTTGCTTTATTAGGGAAGACAGAATGTTTTATTTCTGTCTTCCGAAGGAAGCTTTTAGTAAAGTGGGCAAAAAGTCAGGAGCAGTTAAAGCTACTCTGATCCTCAGGGTGGGAGGAAGGAGTTGGAGACTTCACGTTGTCTCGCTCTGAGCAGGTCAGACTGCACCTTTCTTCCCCCTTAGACACCTCAGCTGGGCTCAGGACTCCTGCTCTGAGGCTAGGGCTACCCTGTTACCCCCAAAATGCTTTTTTAACATGTCAAACAGACAAAGCTCTCCTCGTGCACTGTTTAGGTTTTACAAGAGTTTCCAGTTTTCCATAACCTGGAAAAAAAATTATTCAAGTTTGTCTTAATTCATGCACAAATTCAAAGCCTGTGTAGCATTTTGACCCAAGTTCTAATCTTTCCAGGGCTTTATTTTTGTCAAATAGCGTGGTGATGGGATATTGGAGTGGGTTGTAAAACCAAGATTAATTTCATGTTTATGTAAATCAGATTTGTTAGTCTCTTAATTCTGGTAATTTCCTGTGAAACGCTGTAGTTAGCAGTGAAAAGCAGTTCCTGTACGTTCACTGATTTGATTTTTCTTTTCATTGAAAAGTAATTGCATAGGTGGTTTATCCTTTCGTGCAATGATCAAAGCAGCTTCGAGCCTAACGTGGGAGCATGGAAGAGCTGCAGGAGTGAGAAATGGAGCTGCTTTTGGGGGAGCAGAAGGGAAATTCCCCTTTCATCCAGATTAGAAAAATATTAAGGAAAAAAGCCTCCTTTGCTTATTCAGCAATAAAATCTGTAGTGTGATGCAGGCTCATGCCAGATATCTCTTCTCATCATTACCACAAGAACCTGTCTTGATATTCATTTTTGTTTCATTTTAAAGGTTCTCTTCTCAGATGCCTGACGTCACGGTCTTGATTTTCTTTCAGACCCCAACTGCAAACTAGAAGACAAGGCAGAAGATGGAGAAGTGCTAGACTGTAAGAAAAGGCCAGATGAAGGGGAGGAGTTGGAAGAAGAAGCTGTGCACAGCTGTGACAGCTGCCTCCAGGTGTTTGAGTCGCTGAGTGATATCACAGAACACAAGATTAATCAATGTCAACTGGCAGGTAAACAATACTTACCACTTTGTGCCTTCTTGCACTGTTCTATTGCTGATTACCATCCTCTGCTTCTGATCTCCCTCCTCCTAACTCGGTTATTTTACCCCTGCACTTGAATGCTTGAATGAGACCTTTATAAACAGATTCTGGGAGAGGATTATACTGCAAGTGGGGCACTATAAATTTCCTTCCTACTGAGGGGTGTGTGGATAATTAGTGCATCATCACTGTATGAAAGTGTTCGTTGGCTGGCTGTGCCTGACTGCTGCATGTGTTTCCCAGAGTCACACTGTGCAGCTTGCTGCACTTTGCTTCCACACCTCTTCTCCTAAGTCACTTGTGAACGCAGAGGTTATTTGTAAGTGGGGTTTGAGTGCAGCTGCATAATGAAGGAATTTGCACAGAGGCATGTTGTAGATCTGGGCTGGATGTTCCGTTAGTGACTGTACAGTAATCAGTAACTGATGGTTGAGAGGGATGGAGCAAATTGTTACAGGGATAAAAAAGATCCCAGCTTTAGTCCAGGGGCAGAACCAAGTCCTAATCATACACTACTTGGTTGAGAAGAGCTGGATGAATGGACCTGTAGCCAAAACAGGTTCTCCTTTGAAATAACTGTAGATTATTCCTCACTGAGGAAACCCCCTGAAATCTCCTGGAGTAGTTTTGCCTTTTGGATTTAGTAGGGCTTTTGATGGTACACACTGTAGGTCCAAACAGAGGCGGAACCAAGGCCTAATCATACATTACTTGGTTGAGAAGAGCTGGATGAATGGACCTGTAGCCAAAACAGGTTCTCCTTTGAAATAACTGTAGGTTATTCCTCACTGAGGAAACCCCAGTAGGGCTTTTGATGGTACACACTGTAGGTCCAAACAGACTTGGTATGAACAGAAAGGTGTGGGGGGTTTTGTTGTTGTTGGGTTTGGTTCTTTACATGGTACTTTTGTTTTAGCCTCTGCAGTGTAAAATGTATTTAATGTGCAGTGCAGTTATGTTAAAAACCTTTCTTTATTAGGACTTCATAAACAAGGAAAGCCATCCTTCCCATTTGAGAAGGCTTTTGAAAAGTGTATGTGTGCTCATCTCTGGGGAGCTTTGGAGTTATTTCTGGTTCTAGCAGATCCATAGGCTAAGTCCTGGCAGGATGATATAAAAGTCAAGTAGCAGTCCTGCTCTTGAGACCAAAGTGTGAAAAGAAGGTGAGCAAGAGAGGAGTAAGTGGACAGGAGCAGAAAGAGAGTTGAGGAAGTAATGTGAAGTTGTCAAATGGTTTTAATCCCAAATTATGTTTATGGCCGTTGAGTATCTGCTGAAGCAAAATATGTTTACTTTTAACAATAAATTGCTTTGCCTTTTCTTGTCTGTAAAATGTTTCTCTAACTTCAGATACAGTCAGTTCTGCCCTTCCCTCATGACATCTACAAACTTCTAGAATGTATTTGTCTGTATTGCTTATGGCTTCTGGCAGTATGGAGATTCTCTCTTGACTTTTAAAAAACATTCCATTTTTCTCTCCTTCATACCTCTCCTCTTGCTTTTGCTCTTTCTATGTTGAAAAATTAGTGACTTTAGCTTGTGCCTTCCCCCCCCTCTCCTAGCAAGCATTCCTTCTCTGCTGATCCCATTTATTCATCCCTGTTCCATCCCCTTGATCTGATACAGCAGTTTCTTCTGCCTGGTTAGTTAGTTGGTGCCCCCTCTTCCCACTTCTACCAAGAGGTTTCTCTGCTTTAAACCTGCAAGCAGAATGCACTGAACAGTGCTTGCACAGTTGGGTTTGAGAAACTGAATTGAAAAGCAGATTGGGGAGGAGCAGTAAGGAGGAGGAGTCCTGGAGCACTGCTCCTGAACACAGCAGTTCTTGCTGCCAGTTGTGTCACTTCAATGAGAGTGGAAACCAGTGTGCTGGATTACTCACTTTGGGGTGCACATGTGAAGGCAGGAACACGTTGTCAGAAGAGGGGGGAATGAAAACAAATCTTGGAAAAAATTATTCATTTCCTAAAAATATCTGTGCCTCTCTTTCAAGGAAGCTTGTGATAGTGAATGGGCAGAGAGATCAGACTGCTTGAAAGCTCATGAAGTAAACAAACCTAAACTGCACAGCCTTCTTGGCTGTCAAGTTGACAAAAAGCCAACTGTCCTTTGTTTCTAAATATAAATGACCAAAATACACCTGTAACGTGATAGAGGGACCTGGATGGAACAGCCAGAGTTGAGGATTTCTTCTTTCTCCAGAAAAAAAAAAAGACTAAATAGGTGGTGAATTCAGTGCAGGGTCCTAAGCTGCACGTATGGCCTAACATTAAATTATAACATTTAAGAAAACCTCACCAGTTTAGATTATTTTTAGTTAATCAGTGACAAAGAGTTGACAGACAAGCACATTTACCTTTCCCTTCTGAAGCACAATATGGATGACAAAAATAAGCTTTGCTTATAGCAAGCTTTAGGCAAGCTTGCTAAATTTCAGGCAAGCTCCCAGGACTCTTGCTTTTCTTTTGGACCTTGGTACAAAGTTTTCACAAAAAAGTATCACCCCGGAGGGGCATTTGTAGCCCCCTTTCTCATCAGCCTTCTGACTCAACAGGGTGTTACTTAATTACTCTGATTGTCTCCTTTTGGAGGAGTCCCTGTGAAACAAGTAGATGCCCTAAGGTGTTTGTCTGTCACAAAGCTGGTAACAACAGACAAGAGGTTTACCAGAATTTTTTGGTTTTTTTCTTTCTATACTCTGTTGTTTGGGTCAACTGTGTTCTCTCTGGAGTAAGGCAGTGTGTCTCATCTATGATGATGTGTGATCTTTCCAATCTGGCCTTCATCTCAGGTACTGAAGGGTTTTCTAAGTGGAGAGTTGAGCCATTTGTCTTGACTGCCTCTAATTCTACCAACCTTGTAACATGCTTGAGCTTGTAGGTGCCCAAAATGCCACTGTGGCTTCTAGTTTTTTGCATTTCAAATTGTTAGATGCGTTCTTCTGAAGCTTTAGCACCTCAGTGAAGGGAGTGAAATTGCTTTATTGAATCTTCATTCTACACTCTCTAACAAAAAGACAGGAATGGGGAGAAGGGAGCTGGTTTATCAAACACTGGGCCCAGTCTGAGCGTAGTGGAAGATGAGAGTTAACTTACAACTCTGTGAGATTTACCTCTCAGGACCTTGGATTGCTGTTCTCTGGCAAATGTTTTTTTTCAAAGGAGAAGAAAAAAGTTCTCCCCAACTGGTTTCTTCCTGTAATCTGTTTGAATTGAACTCGTGTTCTCTTTCTAGAGGAGGGCATAGCTGCTCTTTTATCCTAACGTGCACACTATTGATCTTTTCAATTTGGGTCTAATCCAGTATCCATTGAAGTCAATGAAAAGATTCCCATTGACTTCAAGGGGGGATGGAACAGGCCCTTTATAAGCTATTTGGTAATATTTTTTTGCTATCCTCTGAAATTCTTGTACTGAAGCTTTCTCTGAAAAGGTGATGATTTATTTATGATAATTGCTGACAATTCCTGTGATGTTTGTGGAATACAGATAATGGATAAATGGGGGAAAAAGTCCAAAAAAAAGTCTTTGCAATGCTCGTAACCATGGGCAGATAAGATGCTGAACTATATTAATTTAGTCATTATAAAAGACTGGCAATAAAAATATGGATTTAATAGTGTTTCTCTCTGATGTTAATGCTTTTCTCACTCTATCCTTCCTGCAGCCTTTCCATTTAATAACTCATGAGCCACTTGCACATTTTCATCCTCTAAGTTGTGTATAGCAGTAAAGGACCCAATTAGGATGGCTCTAAACCTGGTGTCCTTACAGTATATGTCAGTTTGGATCTCACTGTAGGAACATGAATGCAAGATCAAATGTGGTGCACTGCTGATAAACCCCCAACTACACCTTCTCTCCTTCTTCTGCCAACAGGAAAAGAAACTTAACCTTGGGCAGTGCTGCCATATATGCTGGTGAGGGGGCACGTTTTGTAAAGCACTTTCCCTGACCTTCTCCTGCTTGATTTATGATCTCTTCTCCTTGCACAGTGCTGTGTGCTGTTTATTTCACCTCTCAGTCCTCTGTGAAGTCTCCCTTGTTTACATAAGAGCAGCCTCTCCACTGGCTGACCCTGTGTTTGAAGGCATCCAGCTCAAGCTGGGTTCTCTGGAAGATCCTGTGTGCCACTTTTTGTGCAAAAGTCTCAGCCATAACTAGAGTAACACCAGAAAAAGGAGCATCCAGTGGTGCTGCCTTGCAGTCAGAACAGGCAGTAACATGACAGTCTGGCTGGGCGAGTCGTTGAGTAACTGAAGAGCAGTGGATGTGCTGGTATCCACCACGAGGTAAAAGGCACGAGCTATTTCTCCACTGGGGATATTTATTTTACCTTTAGGTGATTAGGTAGACTTTGTTTTATGCCTTGGGCTCTAGCTTAGTGCCAGAGCTCTGACAGGCTGAGTAAGTATGTCGGGTAGAGCTGAGAACCATTCACGTCCTGATGATGAAGAGGTTACTGGCTGTAGCTGTGTGTCCCCTGCCAATGAGGAGGTGCAGTCCTGCTCTCTAGCCCTGCTCCAGAGGCTCCTCTCATGTGCCATCTGAAAACAGTTCCAGCAGATATATTGGAGACCACTTCTTGGTGCTGCTCTCCATCAGCACTGGAGTATCACTAAGCTGGGAACTTCCAGCTAAGTCAGTATCTCTGTGTTTCCAATCATGACCAGAATTAATTTTCATGGATACCATCCTCCTGTGTGGTTGAGAAACACCTTCTTGCATGTCTAGAAATAAGAGGTTGTGCTACCTAACAGCTACACAAGCAGCATGCACCACGAGTGATCATGGACTTACCAAATGGGAGAGATTCCACTGTAATGGGTTCCTTCTCTTGCCTCTTCTCTCTTCTTCCTAGTGACCAGGACTCTTTCATCCTTCTGAATGAGTTGGTAATTCCAGGACCATCTCCTTCACTAGAAGACTTGAAGTCTTTCCAAGGGTTTTTGTCCCAAAGGATGGTTG